ACTGGTAACGGGATGGGTGGGTGAGTGATGCGTTGGCAGCTGCGAGCCTACTACTACTACTACTACTACTACTACTACTACTACTACTACTACTACTACTACTACTATAGTATTACTACTACATGCTAGAAGTAACTACTACGACGCCGACTAACTACAAGTAACGACTGCTAGGTACTAGAGTATATGCACATGCAGCTCTGGTATGGTGACCGGCCAGCCATGCGGGTCATGCATCGTGTCTGGGCGAACCCAAGGGCTGGCAGCCGCTTGGGTCCAGATGCAGCACTAGTTTGGCGGCAAGGGAGGACGAGAGAGGAGAGTTGCGGTGGATCATTGTAGGACTAGGACTAGGGACATGGATACTCTTACTCTATGGGCTGTCGATGCTTCTTCGGTACCATTCATGCAGCATCATCTCATCTCAGATCTGTTGATTGACTAGGCCCTAGAACTCTGACCTACATGGGTACATGGTATTGACATACTACATCCTACATCCTACCCACACCACAGGTATGCAGTTGGATTGCTCGAGTGGAGGATTTCTTATCCTCCTTGATACACTGACCTTTCATCATTAGATCAAAGGCAAGTAGCATATTACCATCATTCTTACTCCTCTGTTTATTTTTATTTATTTCATCTACGGCCTCACCTGTTTGTCCCGACACCATGTACCAGGAGTAAACTACCCATGCTGCACACAAAGGGAAACGAAATACAGAACATTACATGAATATATACATGGAGGAAGGTCTAAAGCTTTTTGCAACGCGCACGATGGTGTTTGAGGAGAAAAAGTGTCTAAATGTATGTGTAACAGAATGGTCCACCCATGGTGCTCATTGCAGACTCAATTGTGATGTTCCCAGCATAGGCATAGCCCAAAGATATGGTGTCACTAAGCTTCGTGGCGGGTGCCGTTGGGTCGGAAATAGCAATCGTCCCGTAGATGGCGTTGGTACGCTCCGAGGGGTTGAGATTCTGCCATGTCCACCACACACGGTCGATTTGCGCATGATGAAAGAAGAAGTAAGGGTCTCCAGGGGAGGTGAAGAAGTCGGAGCCTGGGTCGCCACCAACCGTAAAATGGCCGGCCGTGTGCACGCCCATGAAGTTGTTCTCGAAAGAGGGAACGCCGCCTTGCATGTCGCTCCAAAAGGTCTGGATGTCCTTGCTATTGAGCAGCTTGACGACAGAGGCATCATCGGTCCATTGGCTCGACGTCCACGAGGAAATATCGCGTTTAAGACAACGTGGGTTGTGTCCGAGACCGATTTTGGGATCCATAAAGTCGCTGACGGGGTTCGCAGGTGTGCAGGTCAAGTCAGTGAAGACGGGGCCGAGATTCACTGGCCAATCCTTCAAGGGGCCAGAGGCTACACAGCCGCCACCTTTGCCCTTTGGGATCTTGATCATAGGTGCTTCGTTGGTCGGGATCCCATAGAAGGTTTGGTTCGTACATCCAGCGACACCATTGCCACCAATCGACGTAGCGGAACCGTCAAACACAGGCGACTTCATCGGGTCGTCGGCCCATCGTGGCCAGTTGTAGTAGGGCTGATAGCCTTTGTACCCACACTCTTTTCGGAGAGTCTGCTCATACGCATGGGTGAAGTAGCGGTGCCACGCAAGGAAGTTACCAGTATTGTGGATGGAGAAGGTTTGCTGAATGTGTGTCGCAACAAAGTCATCATACCGATTCTTGCAGCCAGGACACACAGACGCAGGAGTCTTGGAAGGCAACTTGCTCATGCACTTGATCGCAGAGATGTAATTTTGCTTCTCAGAAGTCGAAAAAGTAGCCCTGATAATAATATCAGTTCTGTGTCACCATCCCCCCTTTCTGCGTAATCAACATACCATTCGCGTCGCACAATGATATTCAGAGGATTGCACGTCTTCCACTGAGTGGGCTTTTGTGTGGCCTGGAAGATTTGCTGATTGATGGCAGCAAGACCGGCGTAGACATCAGCTTGTAGGATCTTTCCTCCCATGGTACCAAGCGAAATGTCATCTCTCTTGTCGAATGAGAGCACAGGAGAAGTTTCCTCAAACGCAGGAATGGCGCTGGCACTTGCAGCTGTTGCAAGCCACGCGGCAGACAAGAGTGTGGCCCGCATGCTTTCTGGCTAAAGCTGACCGATTAAGAAAGGCGTGGAGGCTGAAGGAGGTGAAGGAGGAAGGAAGAGCGTAAGGGTCAAGTATGTATAAGGTTTCTCGGCTGAAAGGCCAACACAAAACGACTACTCGAGATTCATTTTATGATATGAGCAAAGCTCTGGAAATCATGGTAAGCGACGGCTGTATATGCTAAAGTTGAACTGCGCCGTTCAAGTACCTTAGTGCCTTGCCAAAATTTGCCTCCTTCTAGTCTGTTCGCGGCAAGGTCGTCCCACCACTGATCAGCTCATAACATCTTTAGGATCAAGACATCCGGTAAGATAGATCCGCAGCGTGGTTGAGTCAGTATAGGGGTCTTTGGTCTGACCAAAAAAGGCTGAATGGTAATGCCCATTTCTTACAAGACCGCAAATTTTCGCTTTCGCATATGCTGACATGGCACTATTACTCTTACAGCTAAGAGATACCGACCCAACAGTGGCAGCCGTGATTAGTATGCGAGAGGCGTTCTCGAGGTTCGTGGCTTGTGGATATCACACTGGCCCTTGGATTCGCCTTGCATTGACGACATGTCATCCCCGGACTGGTGGGAGGCGCAATTGACGCCTGGAAATGGGCTAGAAAGCATTGAATCCTCGGTCTCATTGGATACCAACAGATCGTTCTATATCGCTTGGAGTATTTGGATGAAAGACAGGGCATTGGATTCGTCGACAACAATAAGCCGAGCCGTGTCGCGTCTGTAGATTTCTTCCTTCTCGGCTGGCGCACTGGTCTGGGTATAGCAAGAAGAAAAGTACTACCATGAGAGGGTACTCTACGGAACCAGGACAAGATCCCAGGTTGTGGGATTCCTTCCCAGGATCTTCTCGCAAACTCCGTTCATTCTGCTTCTCGTGCGCGAATGCCAATTCCTCCGTAGGATCTTCGTTGGCCAGGATTTTCAGGCTAAGTATGGGCAGTCCAATTCAACAGTCGATATTTGGAGGCCTTATAGCCGTGCGCCAGTAGTTCCCCGGTTTACATCGGAATCTCACCCAGATCTCAACTAGTTGATATGGCCTCTTGTATTCGTAGAAGATGTCGGTGGTCTGGAGCCTCGAGGTTTGTGGACGAAGTTGACCAACGGGCGGGCGGTTTGAGCGGCCCGCTAGTCAACCGGAAGTCCACTTCGCCTTTCGGAACTCGACGCCACTCCAACGCCTTCATTTCTTGTGCAACCATCCACTACATCTTTCCGCGGACCTTTTCTCCGTCCCATTTCCAGTGGAACCATTGCCAGCGTGTCAGCGGAAAGCATTCGCACGTGGATATCTGATGCAACCAAATGGACGCCTCCAACGCATGCACCGGCAACGACAGAATGTGTACCTGGCTGTGTTTCGCACCACCTACACGTGTAGAAGAGGAGTTTACATGGGAACTCTTTTGACCTATCGGTAGTCTCCACACTATCGAAGCCGTGTATCTGATACGAGACGACAAGGATATGTGCAGGTGTGTAGGAGTGGTCGACATTGCTGTCGTCACTTCCAAGTCCTGGCTCCGTGGACGTGCGTTGCACAGTCAAAACTCGAACTTTCTTTTTCCCACTCTCAGACCAGACTCAATACAGAAAGATCGCCGCCTCCTCTACGAGGTGATGGGTGCATCTATGCAAGATAGCCTGCTGACTTTCGAGCCCTGTGCGACGAGTTCTGGTCTGGCGGGGGCAATTCAACCAGGCGCAAACCAGTGGACCATCCACTCTGCGGTGGCTTCGATCACCAGCCCCTCACAAAGCGACGCATAGTGTGTGGCACCCAGTTCTTGAGTATATCACTGTATTTCTTACGCATGTGATGAATTTCGAGACTTCGCAATAGTCCAGTGTTCAAGGACGTTCAACTGCATCCTTCAGACGGCACTTTGGTGCATCGTGCATCAGACACCACCACTGGCATGTACTGAACGCATCTGTGCGTGTTTCGCCTGATCTGCCACGCGAAGGAGTTGCCCACTCCCACGCAGAGTAGAGTAGACTTCTGCTTTGCTACACTCGTACGGCCAGTGATTGGGCAGCGGACTTGGGACTCCGGCTATTCACCTACGCCCATCTGCTGCCGAGTCCACTTTCCGACATTAATCTTGTCTCTGCTGCAGATGAAGTAACAGGCATGGCATCCAAAGAGGCAAGAACCTGTCCGACCTGGTCCGGTTCCTGTCTACACACTGCATGAGCCTGGGGTGAGGGGGTTCCAGCCAGCATCCTATAGAGTACATGTCTTAAGATGCCCCCTTGGTATCCTGTGGGGAAAGCTGTCAGGAACGCGATCTTCATTATCGTTCTTGCTTTTCTTGTTTTGAAGAGCTGTCTTGAATCGTGTGTCGTGAGTCGACATGTTGCACCAGCTGCACGAGTTGCACGAATCCCTCTTCTCGCGGCAGGAAGAGGGGCCTCCGCCCATGCCACCACGGTCGCCAGAGTACATGGCCGAGAACATTGCTCCGCAACTGATGGCTGTTGAAGGGCCGCTGTTCGCGCTGTCCATGACTGCCGTTTTGATGCGGTTCTATGTACGGGGAGTCATGTTGAAGACGTTCGGGTGGGATGGTATGTCCGCTTCTGATAGCCTACACACAACCCAAAAATACTGATTCGTGCGACCAGACGCAATGATGGCGATCGCAGCGGTATGTTCCAAACGACCACCTCTCTCCCTTGCATCGGTACCTCGAAGCGCCCAAGTGAACTGACTCATTGCGCTCAGTGTATTAGCATAACCACCCTGGTACTCTTCCTGAAGATCATCGATATGGGTGTTGGACGCCACGCCGAAGCCTTTCCATTGGACAACATCTTTCCTTTTTTCAAGATTATGTATTTCTACTCCATCTTGATTATCTTCGCCTACAGCTTTATTAAATTATCCATTGGCTTCTTCTTATTGCGCTTGGTCGATCGGACAAGATGGAGGCCATTCCTGATTGGAATGTTGAGTACGTTGAATTCCCAAAACTCTCTGCGCAGTTCGACTGACAACCGCAGTGTTCATCGCAATGTTCACCATCGGTTCGATATTCGCCATCATCTTCCAATGCTCACCCGTCGCTGCAGGATATGACTACACACTGCGCCCACCCACAGGGTACGTCTCTCTCTCCGCAATAGCCCATCAGTCTCCTGCCTACTCACTCACTTTTCCGACCCCTAGAACAGCGAAATGCTACGATCCAACTATTTTCAAAAACGTCGGCGTTTTCAATTCATCCGTTAACATCGCAACCGATCTCATCTTCGCCCTTATACCTATCCCCATGGTCTGGAAACTACAAGTCACGCTCCGCACTCGAATCGGCCTTGGAATTATCCTGAGCCTGGGTCTCTTGTACGTTCTTGCCTCATAACACGGAACCATCATCCCCCCGTCCCCCCCTTTCCAAAGCACAGCCTACGTAGAGCCCTACTGAATAAATCCCTAAAACAGCGCATCCGCAGTCGCAATCTACAAAACACCCATGCAAGCCAACTTCTTCAAAGAACCAGACTGGTCAGGCAATGGATCATGGTACTACATCTGGCAGCAGTACGTCTTCTCCCCTATCCATTTTCTACCTGGCACTCGACTCGACTTGACTCCATTACACCACAACACCACCCCACCCCCACCCACACCTACTAACAAGACCCCCCCCCAAAAAACAGAGTCGAACTCCACATCGGCATCCTAGCCGCCTGCCTCCCCACCATCAAACCCCTCATCTCCACCTTCTCCTCCACCCTCTCCACCCTCACAAAAGGCGCCCGCTCCAGCGCCTCTCACACCGGTCCCCACCCCACCAGCCTGCCCTTCAAATCCAGCGGCTATGTACGACAGCACGAGGATCCGCGTGCGGAAGCCAGTTTTCCCATGAAAGAGCTGAGTGTGGGCTCGGCGAGCGAGAGGAGCAGGACGGTGCGGGATGTGTATGATGAGGATGTTGTGTTGGGGAAGGAGGTTGGGGGGTGTGGGTGGGGGGTTCAGGGGGGAGGAGGGGAGGATGGTGGGGCAGGGGATTGTAAGTTGGCGGTTACGTGGCCAGATATTACCTGTTGAACGCAAAGTCATGAGTATCATGGTGACCTTGG